CAGGAATACTGGTGTGGGAACGAATATTCTTGGTCATGAAGATGAGGACAACACCTAAAAGATGACAGAACAGCAAGAGGTGAAAAAGCTGAGCCCTTGACGATTTGCAAAGGAAAGCCGCCATACTTTCACATGAGCGAGAAATCATCTTCCAACTTGTTAAAGCCATTGAATACCAGTTCTTACTTGTTTGAGTGGATTTCCTCCCAATATCAATATCTGTGTCAGCCTTTCAGACCCTGGGCCCTCCCAGCACCCGCTACCCCACTATAATCAACCAGGCCAGGTTTAGAACACTACAAGGTACAATTTGTCCTGTACTTTCTTGTTCTGCGCGCTCTCTCTCTCACTCTCTCCTGTGGTTCTTAGGTATGTCCGCTGTGAAAAGCATTACACAATGTTCTTTCCCCCATTCCGTTCTCTGCTCTTAGCTTTCAGTCCATCAATCTTTCTCGCTTTCTCTAAGGCTCCATTATGAAGCTCACCACCTTTGTGCTGTTGGCATCTATTAAGGCTGCAATTCCGTGGTTCTGCTGCTCATTCCTGACTGACTTGCTGCACTGTAGAATGGGGCAATTTACTGCCTTCAGAAAACTCTACCTCCACGTACACAGGGAAAGGACAGGCTCTCTCACAGAAAACCACCAGGAAGATGACTTTCCCAAGGAAAACAAACAAAGCCTCGTTGTCCTATCTCATGGCACAGCCACTCTCAGAAGAACTAATTGGATCCCAACTGGATCAAAGACTGAAATCAGCCCCACCTCATCCCTGCAGGAAAGCTGGCTGTTTGGTGGGGGAGTGAGGAGGGGAGGGTCATTCACTCAAGCCAGAGAAAATGGTATTTTGAAACACAACAGTTGGTAGTCCAGGCAAGCTGTTGTCACCAGAAATATGCTGCAAGAATTACAGTGGCGTCTGATTAGGAGGCAGAACCTGGCACTGGGAAACCCAGGAGCAAGCTATATTCGGGGACTAGGCTTATAGTTGGTATTAAGGAGACTGCCAGCAGATAGTAGGACTCCAGGCATCAAGAGGAGTTCAAGGACAGGACTTCAGGCCCCAGAGTAGTGATTCCCTACTGGCGGGGATCTTGTCTCTCCAGGGGACACGTGGCAATGCCTGGAGAGATGTTTAGTTGCTATAATTGGGGGATGCCAATGGCATCTAATGAATAGAGGCCAGGGATTCTGTTAAACATTTTATAATGCATAGAGCAGCCCCTACACACAGATACACAATACGAAATTGTCTAGCACAACGTGTCAGTAGTGCCAGTGCTGAGAAAACCTGCCTTAGAGGTTTACATGAACAGGGCGGGGTGCCCCTCTCAGGGGTCTCCTGGGTCCTGAGCAGTCTGCCAAGGCACAGGTTCAAGAGCAAGAACGGGAGCACAATGTCATAGCCAGACTAGGAGCAAAGTAAATTCATCCCACACCCCAGCGTGTCCCACCAGAGCAGCTTCAACCCCTCTGGAAAACTGGGAGATGGTTCTACAGCAGGATGCTTAGCCTGGTGCCGTAAATCTTTTGGAAGCAGGGGGAGATCCTTGCACATTGATCAGGGGATCTTGACCTTCCTCAAATTATTTGAAAATTATGTGTTTTTGTATTTCCCTGGGGTAGGGAACCAAAGATTTCTCAGGATCTAAAAGTGGATATAAGATCTCACAAAAGGTCAAAAGCCACTGCTGATGACCTAGGGCAGTGGTCGGCAATCTCATTAGTCAACAGAGACAAATATCAACAGTACTTCTTCAAAATAGACTCGCCCAGGCCAAAAACCAACTTCTGCGCACTGGCCACGAAGTTTCAATCGCACTGTATGTGCGCCCGCACATGGTATTTTATGGAAGAGCCACACTCAAGGGGCCAAAGAGCCACATGTGGCTCGCGAGCCACAGTTTGCCAACCACAGACCTAGGGTATCAGGTTGAGCCTGAAGGAAGGAAACATAAGGTCTTAAGTAAAGAAAAAGGAAGGATGTAAAAATAAGGATAACAGCTAGCAATAATCACACACTTGCTGTGTCCCAGGTACTGTTCTGTTGCCTAATTTGGATTAACTCATTTAATCTTCATAAAAATCCTTTGAAGCAGGTGCCTT